AGAAAAAGCTAAGGGCTTATCATTTAGAAAGACCAAAGAAATTTCTGATTGAAAAATAATGGGGACGATACATGCTAACTAGACGTCATAGCAGAGGGATGTGGCCACAGATCTGCCTCTCCTGACATTCTCCTGAACAAGGTGATAAAAATACTTTTGGGTAATTGATCTGCTCGAACAATATCCACTATCACCTTTGTGATTTACATTCTCAGAATTGAAGTTTCAGAGTGCAGTTTCACAGAAATCTTGAATCCAGTTTTTTTTACTAATTTCAGTAGGGATTTAAAAGAAGGACTGAACTGCACATAACTGTTTGCTTAGTCTTCTGCATTAAGAAGGAACAATAAACAGCCTCAGTTTAATTTTGTTATTCTTACTATGTAATTCAAAGATACCCTGACAAAACTGAATAATTGACTGAAATAAATAACATGCAGCTGAATGGGAAAAGGTGTTTAGTAAGTGCCACTTAGGCACTCACCAAGTCATAGAGCAAGGGCAAATGTTGCACAGAAAAGATTTCCAAATTCAAAGTATAACATAAACCAGAAATGTCATGTTACTACAGAAAGGCCAAGCCATTCTCTCATGTATTAACAAGGCCTGTGAGGTAATCTGCTTGGACTAATCCAGCCCAAGGGTGCCTTCACCTGAATACAGAATTCAGTCTACACAATGCACTTGACTGGGGATGTTGGGAGATCCCAAAGGAGAACATCAAGAATGATCACATCCTAGAACAGAGAAGAAAGATGAAGGAACCTCTTAGACCCTATGTCTATCAGGTGCTCCATGGAATTAGCTAAACCCATCTGTCCCCTTGCTGTAATGGAGGATTCTGCAATATGTATGAACCCATCATCAAGAATGACCTCCAAGGATGATTCCTGAGCTTTGCCTTCATTAAATAATACTAGAACATAACGACACATGATCTTGGCAGATCACATTAACTAAAAGAATGGTACACATCAGCTTGGCAGTCAGCACAGAAATGAGCCATCCTGTTGGGATTTAGCTTAATTAAGTCAATAAAGATGACTTTAAACAGCATGGTCCCAGTCAAAGCTGCAAAGTTATTTTTCCATACTTTATTTTAAAAAGTTTGAATATCATAATCACATTTCAACATACATTTTTAGTGCAGATAAACTCCAGAAGTTATTGTATATACTCTATGTGTATATATTCTCTTTCCTATAAACAAAATTAAAGGAGAAAACAAGTTTCCTCTAAAAAAATTCTGCAGTCATGCATAGTTCATTCAATGCCGTATTATCTAAAACAGCAATCTCTAAACTGTAGTTATTTCTCCTAGTCTTAGAAAAAGTCCCCTACACAGAACTGTAAGACCAGTTTCCCTCTAGCATCATGAACAACATGAGTTCCCACTCCATTTCACATGGCCCGGGGGTAGCACACATTTCAGTTCTGTACCCTATACTTGTTTGATTGTTGGAATGGAGCAACCTCACTCATTGCCAAGGAATTTTTATAGAAAGAGGAAGAAATCTCTACAGGTAGTGGAAAGATGGCTTTTTCCCCAAGTATGAGTGGCCAAGCTAATGCAATCAGCATTGACTCATTTGCTTTTATTCTCAGCACATTAAGCTGTGGGCTGACAGGTGATCTGGGTCAAGATGGTCACCTTCAAAGGCTGTAATTGACTGACAGGATGTACTATAAGTGAAAGTGGTCACCCTTCAAGTTATTATCAGTGAGCATCTCTCTAAAGCATTCCTTCAATTCCAACCTATTACAGAACTTTACCTAGCTGGGGAGTTTTAAAATACATTTATTCTAAGAAATAAACCTGCGCTTGCTCTGAAAAAAACACTAGCAACAATTATTTGAACTATGAAGGTTTCAGGAGCATGTCCTGCAATTGTGATCTATTTAGCAACGGATCAAACACTACAAAAGACTAGAGGGTCAGCCTGCATTTTAAAACTTATATTCCTGAAGTATCTCTCTTCACCTAGAAGCAAGTATACAACTATTCAGAGCTTTCACTTGTATTGGGAAGCACTATCTCACTGTCCAGTGCTGTGAAACACAAATATCTCTTCATCTTATTCTTCTCCCATAGAAGAAATAATTATTTTGAATTGAGTAGAAAAAATTATTAAATACAGTTTACTTAGTAAGGTGTAGCCGGCAAGGTGACTATTTAAAAGACTAGTACCTAAATATACAACACTTGAGTATCTGTGTTTTCTTTCCCTCCTCCCCCAGCGCTGTTACTGTTATCTTTGATTTTCACTTCTGGCTTAGATGCAAGAAAGCAGCAGACTGAAGTCTGCTATCATACACACTGCATGAGTGGAGCTCAAAGCAACACAGCCCTTCTCAGGACAAATTCTGCCCTTATCTATATCAATGAAAGCCTAGTGTAACTCTACCCCTCACTAAGCTATTTTGTACTCATACTAATTTTGTATGTTTGAGAGCAGCCTGTCTTTATGACCCTCTTTTCAGACATCTGCTGCTGTTCCAAAAGGGATACACACCATAAAAATCTTCACTACTATTTCACATATAGAAAATCATAAGACTGAAAGTTTGGATGGCCTTTGAGGAGTCACCTAAGTCACACCTCTGCTTTAGACAGGTTCAGCTTTCCCAAAATCATTCCAAACAGATGTCCAGGAAAAGCAAGCTTAGAAGCCTCAGCTGACAAAAATTCCACACCATACCCAGGCAATCTATACCTGCACCTAATTACTGTTGCCATTAGCATCTTTCCTGGTGTCTTACCTCAATCTCCTTCACTACCACTTAGCACCAGTATTTCTAGTCCTATTCCCAGTGGACTCGTTCTCCTTTCTCTCTATAGCAAAGGTTTGATACTGGATAAACCACTATCCTGATCTGTTTCAGTCTTCTCTGGGCTAACCCAGCTTGTTCTGTCCACATGATACAGTTAGGAAACACCTATTGAGCATCCACTACCCTTCATCTCTGGGGCTCATTTATGGGAACTGCACACAAGGTAGGTTGTGCTAGAGTTGGGATGTGGCTGCTTGGTTTTTGGAACAGAGTCAAGCAGGGCAGAGATGCTGATAGAGGAAAGGATGGCAAGCCCCAGTGGTGTCTAACATCAGAAAACTACTTGAACAAGTGTGGGCTGATGATGAT